TTTGTTGGGCAACAGGTCAGCCCCCGTAAGGGCTTGTTGGTGCTTATTTATGATATGTTCTGTTGGTAAACGATGGTGGTGCTTTGGTTTATCAATCCTTGATGCTTCCACCTTCAGCAAAGCATACTGGTGTCACTTGGCTGAACAGGGTTGGACTGTAGCAGGATTGGCCCCCCTATTTTGAAGAGATGTGACCCAGCTTTAGGTTGGGAAGGTCATGTACTGATAGCAGCGTAGCTCTGGCAGACCCCATGCTGCCATAACTTAAGCACTGAATAATGCGCACTGTGATGGAGCTAGCTGTTCTCAGCTGAAAGTGAATCCTGTGAAGCTGGGGGCTAGGGTAAGGGCTCTTTCTGCAGCATGGATCTGTCCTGCATATGAAATGGTCTTGCTCATGCACCTCCAGCCCAAAGACCTGAAATGGTTTCATGCATAGAAGGTTGGTTTCCTGACTATTTTGAATATCGACCATCTTTGAGAATGGACTGTTTGGTACCTTCAAGGTTTAGCTAGTTCACTGCACTCATCTTCAAGTGAATTTTGTAGGGCCAGCGCAAAGCTGCTTGAGCATACAGAATTCTCTTGTAGGAATGTCAGGTTCTTGAATGGTGACTCATGTTACCTTTTGTTGTTCCGTGATTTCTAGAGAATTCGCCTTGTACTCCCCATTGTTTGCATCTTTAGGGTTAAGTTTTATTTGTCTGGCACATTTTAGAGCTGATTTTGAAAGCTCTAGACAGGGAGAGGAGACAGGGCCAGCTGGAACAGCGCATACAGGAGGGGCCCTACCAAACTGTCAGTGCCTTGGAAGGCAAAAGCTCTCTGGTGCCAGATTGCTCAAATTTATTATATATAATGTAGTTATGGCCTCTGCTGGAAAAAGCTGCTGCCTTCATGTCACCTGGATGGAAAGAAATACACAGCGTGCATACGCCCTTCCTTGCACAATGCCCTTGCACCTATGATAAGGTACGTCATGTTCAAGCAAGAAAATTGAGTTCTGGTCGTAGCTGATGTCTGTTAATATCGTTATGCCTCTTAAAACTGTTATTTCCAACAGCCCCTGCTATCGCTGTAGAGGAGATGATTCTCCTTTACCTGCTTTAAAGAAAAATAACTAAAAGCTGGTACAAGGTCACTCTAGGGAATGGAGCACTAAGATAAAACAAGATGCTGTAGCTCCTATGCTGTGGCATGAGTGGAAGTGTGTGCGTGTGTATCTATCCATCACCAGATGTGTCCATGAGCAGTTCATGGAGGAGGCTTCTTGCGCGACCTGACGTGATTGGGGATGCTGCTTGCTTGGTCACATAGTAAGCTTTTTAGGTCATAGTGGGGAGCATTTGAGATGTGTAGTCTTGCAATGTTTCTTCAGAGGCTGTGAACTCTGTTGAGGATATTTTTCCCCTGCTGCTGTGCAGGGTTGTAAGTAGAAGTTCTTGGTAATTGTTGAGTGAAAAAATCGGGTCTCTGAGAACAGTGATTCATGTCTCCAAGGTTAGAGATTAGAGGGTTAGTCCTCATGGATGACTTAAGCATGGATCTTGTTTTATTTGGCCAGACCCTCTGTCTGCTGGACAAAACAAACATGCCTGTATACATGATTTTTAAAAATTACTATGGGGGCATTTGGTGTTGACCCTTGTATTTAGGCAGTGTAGCATTTTCGATACAAAAATTGTGACCTTTCGCTAAGGAGCTCTTAAAACTTCCATTGTTTGCAGTAGGCTGTTGACATTTGGTAGGGGAAGCACCATCAGAGAACAAAGTGCCTTTTTATGTTCCACTAAATTAGATTCAGCTTTGAAGGAGATATAAACTGTTAAAATGAACTCGTTCTTTTTTTCCTGCTTTCATTCTTCAGGAAAATTCTGGCACGCTACCAGGAAGAAAAAAAAAAAGTGCCTCCAGTGCTGGACCTGCTGTAAGCGTTGCGGCAGTGAGGACAAGAGCTTTGGTGTTACAAGCTGTCATAGCAGCTGTGGAAACGGCCACAGCAGAGTCTTGAAGAACCCAGCGCATGTCCTCCTGCCTCACAGCCATGCTGCTTTCTTCCAGGGAATTTCATGGAGCAGGAAGCCCTTCCCCAGCAAACCTCAGTTCAGCAGCTAGCCCCTGTTGTCTGTGTTCCTTCTCTCCCAAGCAGGTCCTTCCCTCCTGTCTTTTCAGACACCCACAACTCCTAGGTACAAAAGAGATTTGGGGTGGTTTGCGTGTATGGATGTGGCTCTTTACAGTAGGTGTCAAGCATGTGCTTGCTGCAGCCACGGGATTTGATGATCTTAGTTCTGTCATCTAGGAAGCGACGTACCTCCGTCATCGACAGGACAGGGAGGCAGCCCTGCCCCCTCTCATGGAGCTAGGTCAGACCACTTACATGCAGTGTTACCGCCAGCTTTTTGTCAGCCACAAGAAATTGAACACCCAAGGCAGGCTTTGCTGTTGGTGTGGAAACCCTGCACGGTGAGCTCAGCCGAGCGGGGCTGGCAGGCAGCGCTGGCACTGATACCCAAGGATCCAGGCCCAGCTGGGTGTGGAGAAAGGGGAAGATGGCACGGCGTAATTGTGCACCAGAAGCTGCACAGTTTGTTCTCTTTCAAGATGATTCTAATGAGGTAGAAAATGGTGATTTTTGATGGCTTTGAACATTCTGAAAATAATTTGGCATTTGCATTTATCGAGAGCCTGGCTGTTCCAGCGTGTGTGACAAGGCTGGGCAGCTGAGCTGCTCTGACAGGGACAGATCCTGCTCTCGGGCAGGGTGTGCTGCTTTCCGCTCCCCTTTGCTCCTCAGAGCCCTGATGCTCACCTGACCCTTTAAGCCGCTTCAGATCAGTAAATTGCCAAAAGCTTTATGTTTATTCCTTTTGTTGGGCTAGTTTTCTGCAGGGTTGGTGAGCTGTATCAGTTTATCTACAGGTGAGAATGAAAACTGAGGACAGCTTCAGGAAGCTGGTGAGACCAGACAAGGAGGGACAAGGGAGTAGGGACAGCCCTTCAGCAGCCACAAGCTGTTAAATTGGTTCTGCCCCTGTCATGTAACGACACTGAAATAGTCTACCAAGAAAGCAATCATGACCGATTTCTTTCATGGCAGTCCCCGAGCCAAATGCAACAAAGACAACAAGAAGCAATCAGCGGCTAATCTCCTTTATAGACAAGCCCACGCCAAGGGTGGGATAGAAATAGAAAATGTATTTTAGCTGTGATTGGCACGACAGTGGTCAAAAGATAATCCAGCATGGATCAAGCCTAAGCTGTTGAGATGTTGAGGTTTCAAGGAAGATGCATGTTTACATTAGCATTATTCAAACTTCATGTAACGTCGGATATTGTGAATTCAATTGTTCTTGGGATGAATAGAAGATCAAGTATTGTCCTTAAACAATAGAACAGTAAAAACAACATCTGTGAACCAACACTTGTAAAAGAATACAACTGTCTCCTTTTTAAGAATGGAGAATGGAAGCAGACAGAAACTATAGCTAAAATTGTTGAAAGCACTTTGTTTGCATAAAGACAGTGGTGGAATACTTGTTCAAGGGACTTAATAGCTTTTTATTGCTTTACATATTCAGAGCTTCTCCTCAGCCATCATGGCTCACTGTTGTGAATGTTCCATATTTGCAAATGTGACCACAAGTCTTTCCAGCAGGGCACCCACAAAATGAGCATTATACCCATTTGACTCAGAATGGAAATGGTAATTTTAAAAAAAGGCGAATATCATGTTAAGAGCACTGTGGCGAAGTGGAGAGTGTCCCAGTGCCCGGAGGCTACGTTAATCATCTTTCCTAACTGTGAAACCATCCTGTCTTTTGTTGTTGACCCTTCCTTCATTTTCTACCACCTTTGTAATCTTCTGCAATCAAAACCATTTTGATTGAAGCTTTTGTAAATAATAGGGTAGGAAAAATGCTCAGATACAGCATTTGTCTGAGTGTGGTATGCTCCTGAAATGAGATCGTAGATCTGTTTCTGGAGAGCAGACCTCCAGTCTGGAAGTGCAACAGTGACACTTCTAGAGGACAGAGCGGTTGCGGGGCTCTGTTGAAATGGTGATGCTTTTACCTACAGGTTACTGGTTTGAATCTGGCCAGTTCAATAAAAAATATTTTAATATGTTCTAAGGTGAAGGATGTGATCCATCTGTGGTTCCACAGAGTGTGGTAATTTTCCTTCCTATCTTGTAGCGCTGGTTTCCCATTTTTGCACTGTGCTGAGCAGGGAGTTCTTTGGAACCAGTTGTTGAAACAGTGCGGAGTAGTGGGGCCCTGCTGTCCTTGGGGTCTCCAGGCTGAGGCAGAGATCAGAATTCTATCATATGTGCTAAACTTGCATAGGTTAACGACAGCCTGCTGTATGTCACAGGTTAAAGTTGAATGATCTTTTTTCTGAAAAACAGACTGTTGGGCATTGGCCATTTTCATGGTTTTTGAATCAGCCATTAATTCTTTTGGGGACTTGAAGTTTTGGAAAGTAAAGGGAGGGGGAGGGAAGGAGATTTAGAGTTTGGAATCCCTGAGGTTGGGAGTCTTATGTGACTATCCCCTCCAGAGAAACAACATCACTGTTAAGTTTCTCTTTGCGATAGCCGCTTCAGGAGGAAGATGAAATGCTGAATTCCATTTGAGAAAAGACGTTAGGTCTGAGAGGAAATCATAAAACCACATCTTGGATGAAATAGTAGAATGAGGGAAGAAAGAATTGTTTAGATTAAAAGGGGAGAAAGAGAAGCTGCCTCACATCCCTGGAACTCTTCTGGAGATTTTTTTTCTTCCTTTAGACTTTTGTGAGAAAACCTGGGGTGTGTGACCAAGAGGATCTAACCTGAGAGAACTGGGTCATGTCACTGGGATTTTATGCCTTTGCCTGTATGCTAGAAATGGAAATATTCTCACCTTCCTGCTAGCGCCAAGCCAGACCTCAAAAGGTAGGAAAAATGGAATGCCAAAAATAAATCTTTTTTTTTTTTTCTCCCCCTTGTCTCTCTGCAGCAATTCGGCAAAATCCTTGATGTAGAGATAATCTTTAATGAGCGTGGCTCCAAGGTAAGTCCTGTTTCTGTACCCGCTTCTCTTGTTTTGATGGCAGAGTAAAAGGCAGTTCATTGCCTAGAGAATACACTCTGTAGAGCTTAGCAGGAATTAGTGTGATGGGGGAAGGGAAAAGCTATTTTGGGGACTGTCTCCTGTTCCCTCTGACTCCACACTCTGAGCATGGTCATTTCGGGGCAGCATGTACAAATGCTCCTAGACATCTGACTGTGAAGTGGGGCTACGTTTCCCATCCTTTTGAACAAACAAGGAGTCAGTCACTAGAGCCTTCATACCAACCTGTTCCCATTGCACTGGCAATGGGTCCCTGTGGGGAAAGCAGGATAAGGTACACCAGTGTTGTGTGATGGGAGACTGGAAGAACAAAGCCTAAATCCCCCCCCCACACACACTTTCATTGCATTAAAGTAATTCTATAGAATAACTGTCATATCTCATATGTGAAAGGATTTTATTTACTCTATTTTGAAGACTTACTTGGCACATCTGAGATACTGACCTTTCATGTTTGAGATAGTTGATGCTTAATGCAAGCATCCTCATTCCACTTGTCCTGCCCCATGTGGACCTCTCCCCACTGAATTTGCATTCACACACCTATTTTCATCTTACAGATATATCAAGAGGGAGATTTTGTTGAGGGTTAATGGTAATTTATTTCTCTGGAGATGAGATTTCAAATATTACTCAGGTCAGCTGCAGAGAGATTCAGTGATCTTTGTCCTAATTGGCAATTGGTTCTCATCACATAACCAGTATCACCGCAATGACAAATTGATGTGATTCTCTCTCTGCCCAGGAGGTTCAGCACTGGAATAGCAGGGAGTTTTGCAGGTCAGGAGCGAGGTGCATTGCCAAAGCTCTGTGGGGGAAGCTTGCACAGTGCATGTCTATACTCTGCTTGACTTAATCAATGCTAAGATTCCCATTTTCAATTAAAACAAAATTTCCCTCCTCCCCCCACACACGTGTGTGCACATGTGTGCATGCACACAAGAGATTTTGAAGTTGCAATTCAGCTAAGCAGTTTTGGTTTAGAGTCTATGCCTTTTGCTTGGATTTGAGGTTCACAGTCTTTAAGGTGGCCTCTTTGCTTCAACATATGTTCCGGGGTATGTTCATGTTCAGAGCCCTCTGCAAATTTCCACCTGTGTTGTCCAAGATGCATTCTGAAATTCTTCAGTCTCTGTATTAGCTGGAAACCAGAAAGCGGTTGATTTGTATACAAAAGAAAAGAGCGTTACCCCTTTCCCCATCCTTTGTTTGTGCTTAATACCATGGTTTGGTTTTGTTTTGTTTTCTTTTTTAATAAGACAGTCTGAACAAGTAAATGTTTATATGGCTTAGTTAGAGAGTTTTACTTCCCTGTGTGGATAAAAAATCTATATGCTTTACCAAAACAATCAGCTATGCTGAGTTTGTAAATATTTATTCTGCTCTCTGCTGTTCTTCTGATATTTATAGGCCACAGCTATCTGTGAATTAGTCTTGATTTTAGTCATTTCTATTTGGCTTTGGGAATAGCCTCTGGCCTCTATCAAATCCCTACTTGTTTGGATGTAATTGCAAAAGAAAGAACAAAAATAACAGGCCTGCCGAAGTGGTGAGCTCTATCCTTCATCTCCCCCACTGCCTGTGCTTTCCAGAACAGTCTTTTGCTCTCCACACATGAACTTCATTCTTTCCCCTATCCATACAGCCCTGTATTAAACGCCCACGGCTGCCCTTTCCCTTCTAGGCAATACAAATGTTGGAGGCTTTCTGTGAAGACTTGATTTATGACTCTGAAAAGTACTTTCTTGGGCAGTTGCTAAAGCCCAAGGCTTCTGGTTTTCAGTTAAAACAAGAATTATTGCTGAAAAGCTCCTTGGTGAATTTTATCCTGTACCCTTAATAAATATATGAAAAAAGAAAACGATTTAAAGAGATGTTCTTCCAGTCCTTGACCATGCAGTTTTCTACTGCTTTTTTGTCATCTTATAGCAAAAAAAAAAAGCAGTTGTAAAACTGATAGTCGTATTGAGGGATGGGGCAGAATCTGAACAGAATGAGAAAACACCCAAAGAGTAATTTTGTTGTATCTTTGCATCCTCCTCTATGCAAAATAATTCCTGTTTTAAAAAGAATGCAAGATTGTTCCTGCTTAGCATGAAAATGGGAGGCCCCAGTGTTTGAGTGGGGTGTAGCTGCACGAAGCACCTGGTATTCACATAATAATGGAAAAACAACAGTTTGGTGGTCTGATGGTGAAGCAAAGGAAATGGATCTTTCTGGAGGCCACTCACTCACTCTTGGGTTCTTCCTCCACCTTAGGAAAAATAAAAAATCTGAATGCATTTTCCTGCCCTGTGGTTTCCATTCTAATCTAATGATATGAAACCTCTCTCTCTTCTTCTCCTCCTCCTCTCTCTTGGGAATCCGAAAGCAGATGCTCCTGCTGCCTGCCTTGTGCTGTGTTCTCAATGCTCCCTTCCCTTCCCCGGGTTCCTAAGGGTTGTAGAGTTTTGTGTATATGTTTTGTACATATTTGAAAGGTACAGTGGTAAATCCCAAACTGCCCTGGGTTGGCCCCCACCCAGTGTGCGATGGGGTTGAGCAGCGCTTTGTCCCTGCCGAGCTGTGGCAGGAGATCTCTGCTGGGATCGCTCCAGCGCTGGTTGGTAGGAGGGACTGGAGGAAGCGTGCGGGTTGCATTCTTCCTTTCGAATCCACCTGAGATGAGCAGGCAGTTTTCTTAGGAGAACCTGGGGGAGCTATCTCAAACTGGCTGCGTCTTCAAGATCTCTGTGTGTTTAGGAAGTTTGGGGACCAAAGAGAGAGCAGCGTGTGCCCGTCGCAGCCACCGCGCACCTCAGGTTCTCGCATTTGGCTTAGGAAATGTTATTTGTTGACTTTCTGTACGACAGCAGAGTAGGAGGCACCTAATAGTTAGTTTTGCTGATTCTCTGCTCAAAGCAATGTGAATTCTTGTTTCCTAACTCGATTTCTGCTCAGATTCAATCTTTTCAGTAGGATTATATGGGTCCTGGTAGACGTCACACTGATACTGCTTTGCTGTGTATGAGAAACAAGATACAAACTTTAAACATGCCTTGAATTTCATTTTGTTTTGTTCTTGTTTAATAGAATGCCATCAGTCTTCCCTTGATGTGTTTGGGTTTTTTTGCTTGCTTCCAGGAAACTAGCGTTTGTTTCATTTATGCTGTTTACCATTACATTTCTGGTTCTGACCTGTATAAGTGCCTTGCATTCTGCTCGTGGTTGCAGTTTACCATGCACTTCACTGAACTGTGAATAGAACACCTCCAGAGGAAGCTGAGATAGAGGATTCCTGCTCCTTTTGTTAGTGGAGATGCATCCTCTAGATGCTATTTTGGCACTGTTGCGCTGAGCCGAACAAGTGGACATATTTGCAGAATTAATGCAGTCTGCCAGCGTGACAAGTACCTTGTGGCATTCATAAAGCTGCAGGGGAAGGGAATCCAAGCTCTTTGCTCATCAGCTGTGTACTGTGTGGCATTCCAAGATGTGCCCTCGATGACATTGAGACCAAGAGTGCGTAAGCACATAGCAAAATCTTGGCTGAAAAGGGAGCTTTTTTTAAAATTTGAAGTGGTAAGGGTTCATATCGGTGCAGATTGCAAGCTCGTGGTTTCAGGATAGTGTAAGTTTATGTCCCTTCACTGCCTTCCACTTGGAAGACCCGGGTCTCCAAGTTCTTGTATAGGACGGAAGTGTCTAGAAGCGCTTCATATTGAATTAAAAAAATGGTTGCATGGTAGCTTACAGCTTGTCTTCTGTTGGTGAGTGGAGTTCTGTAAGTAAACCTGTGCTAACTAAAATTTTGTGCAGAAAGCTGTATGGAAACACTTGGGTTTTCTTATGTTTGCAGTTAACTGTAGGTTAAGAGAAGAATCTCAATTTAGGGTTTGACAACTGTGCCTACAAGACCATGTTTTCATGTGTTTATTTCTTCTCTGAATGGATTAGTTGCTTTCAGTTGAGCCACTCTTGTTCTGGACTTAGTTTCCACTCAGTCAAATAGATACAATCCCCAGTTACATAAAATAAATAAGAGGTCTTGTTTTCATTTTAATTCTATTTTTATAATTTTTGTTCACATGTCGTCAGTTGAGCCAGAAATACAAACAGAGTTACTAACACAAAGAGGCTTAATAATGAATAAAGTGCCAGCGACCAGTGTTGCTTTCTCAGGTCAGCAAATCCCTTTATAATGCCAGTGGCACGAAGGAGACGTGACCTGTGTCCCTTTATCCCCGCGCGGTGAAGTACAGTTTTATGCCTTCAACTGTGTGGTACTAAACTAATGAGTTAAATTAGTCCGTAAACTGAACTGGTTTATTTAAACTTGAATAATTAAGGCTGAAGTTGATGCCTTGATAGTATAAGCTGATTTACTGCTCCTGTGGGAGCGCCTTCCCAGTGGTGCTCGGTTGGGTGCATAGGGAGCTGGATCCAGGGTGCTCAATTAGCGAACAACTGATGCAGCGTGGAGAGGGAGAGAAACGAGCTTGTCTGCTGCCGGTTTCACCAGCTGAACTCGCAGACCACACAGTAAGAGCCACGGCTGATCGAGGGGAGGAGGAGCAGCACGCAGCCGGCGACAGTGCGGGGCCGTGAAGCCCCTGACCGGAGCTCCCCCACCGTTCGCTCCCGGCCTCTGCCCCCTCCTCCGCTTTGCGGGAGGGATTGGCAGCGGAGCAACGCAACAAGCTGGGCTGGGGAAATGATCCAGCTTAAAAATAGCCCTGCAGGTTTTTTTTTTGAAGATACATTTCTGGTTATTTTAGCCAGATTAATTCCTGCGTCTGGTTCGCCAGATTGCGCAGGTACGCGGGTGGCTGCTGTGCACGTGCGTGCCTTGGTGCACTCGGAGCACGGCACGGGGCAGGGAGGAGCTGGAACAGCCGCTGGAGTGGGGACAGCTTGGTTTACACCAGTTCCCTCGCCAATGTGAAGCGTGCGTTTGTGTCTGTGAGTTCAAGAACGTGTTTCTGAATTTCGTGCTGTGTTTCTGTCGGTGCGTTCAGTGCTGCTCATCTCAGGTGGATCATAGCTGAAACCCTCCTACTCTCTCCAAAAGCCTGGGAAGCAAACAGCCTAAACTGCTGTCTCCTTGGCCATTTTTTTCAGGCTCCTAAAAGTTTGTTTATTATGGAATTAAGAAAAAAAGAAAAAAAAAAAGACAAGAAAAAACTTGGTTAAAAATGAGCACAGCAGCAGATGATGGCAAGGCTGGTTGCTGGCTGCATGCTCCAGTGGTACAAGGCAAAGATGCTGCTGCTGAGGTGACTGGTCTAAACTCCATGACAAAATGAAGAGTTAACAATGCATGGATTTCAAGGGGCTCTGTTCAGTTTCCTTTGGTTTTATTTTTTTTATTATTATTTTACTTTATTTTACTTTTGTTGTTTTTTTGTTTAATTTCTGTGTTCTGGCCACACCCAGGAGAACCGTCTGCTTTTGATTTCTCCCTTTACGGTTACATGGTAAATTTTCTTTCTCATTCTTCAGAGATGGAAAAGTTCATTTATTATATATATACATTTATTACTTTTTTTCACTGCTCATCATGTTGCTTGTTATTTATTGCAGAGTCTGAGGCCAGACTAAAAGGGTGGCAGTTACTCGGTCTCTTCAGGCCCTTTGAATAAACCTGTGGGTAAAAAGGGGTTAGTCTGGCACTGCAGATTACTCACCGGTCCTAAAAATGTTTGCTGGGGTTATTTTAGCATTTGCTGGGTATTCTTAGGCTTAAACTTAGTTCTGCTTGGGAGAAGATCCTAGCGGTTGCTGGTGGAGAAGAATTGTTGAAAATTTCAGCCCTGTTATCATAACAGCAGTACTAAACCCAAGCTGTTTGTATAATCTAAATTTTAGAAACCTTAAGTCTTTTTTTTTTTTTAACCCAGGATTGTATCTTCCCTTCCTCTGGCTCCATACCTACTACTATGGAGCAAACCAGTACCTGCTATAAAGCTAAGCTGGTAAATAATGGACATCTGCCGCCTCTTTTTAAAATTTTTTTTCTTTTTTTTTTTTCATGGGCAAGACAACCTTGGAAGGGAAAACCAACAACTGTTTGCTGTATATGTATTTAGGTACAAATTAATCCCTATTCTTTACAGGTCACCTGTGAGAAGGAATTAAAAATATATGTATGTGCTTTTTTTCTCTCTCACATCAAAAATATGTATATATAATTGCTAGTTTTTAAACTTAAAAATAATGAAAATGTCAAGCGTGGCTCACCTATTTTTCCTGATGAAAATTTGAATGTCTGAGTGGTGCATTAAGAAAACAAACCAAGGGGGCACAAATACTGACTCTGCCGTAGTCAGCTGTGTGAAGCATTAATTCAGCATTGACATTAAATAGTTCTCAGAGGGTTGCACAAGTTAAGGACTGATCTGTCAGTAAAACAAAAATTGTGGTTAATAACTTATGTTCAGAATCAGATTAATTCTGTTTTAATTCACATTGTTAATTATTTTCATATAGTCTGCATGTGGATTGTACCCTGCCTTGAGTTAACTGATTAGGAATTTTCAATATTTTTAATAAGTTTAAAGATATGTAATGATAATGTGGTTTTTAAAATCCCATACAGACTTCATTAATTGCAAACAAATGTGAGTTAAAATAGTCTTAGTTTGGTTCTAGCCTGCACAGATTAATGTCTAAAACATTACCTTCCCTCTGCTCTCCTGCTTTCAGTTCACATCATCACAGAAGACAGAAATTTCATTCGATCTCCACAGGCTTGTCTAGAACAAACAGAAATTTTAATGTAAGAAGAGAAGAGGGAAATAGAGATTGCTTTTGCAGTCTTTGCCTCCCCTCCTCCACCAGCCTTTTAAAGATGCTTTTTCCCCATTATATAGAACCAGAGGGAAAGGTGTTGCTCTATTTCTCAGTCTTGCCTTTCTCTGTAGGGGTTCTTTGAAGCAGACACGATACCCTATCCCTGCATAATCGGCTTTGCTGCTACACCCCCGGCACCCCCCCTGGTTCCCTGCAACGTACTTGAGAGTTATATGCGGTTGGGCTGTTTTATTAGCCCCTATCTCTTGTAGCTCCAGTTTTAATTCATTTAAATAGAAAACTCTTACACTGTTCTGAAAAAGGCATCGATTTATTTATATAGCTTCTTATTTGTAGCTGGAGAAATGAAATTACCTGAAGCTTTAGATTATTGGGTTGGAGCCCGAAGGAGCGTTCTCGTTGATCTCAACATTGCAGTACTTGGCTAAGTTCTTTTATTATTGCTGTTCGGGCGGGGGGGGGAAGAAAGAAAAAACCAAAACCCTGCATTTTACAAATGTGTACCAGTTTTGTGCTGGAAACCTAGCTGTGGATGATAAAGGCCAGCATGTGCAAACGGCTTGATTATTAATGTTGTAAAGACCTATAGAAAGCACTGGAAGAATGATGGCTTGCTTGTGTCTTGTTGCTAACAGTGCTTAGAAATCGAGATGCTGGTTTTTTGGGCGGTCTAGTCCCTGCGTACTGAGCTGCACGGAGGGGGCCGCGAGGGTAGCATGCCATTGCCCTGACAAGGCGTAGCTGTAGATCGCTCACATCACCTCACTCCCCAGTGAGTATCAGGAGTTTCCATTGCGTCAAATGTAAGCTTTGTTCTTCCTGCTCCTGAGGGTATTGGAGCCAGCAGAGATATGTCTCTCTACATTAAACTGCTATTTTGCCACAGGAGCCAGTTACTCCTGTTCTTAAGATACCCTAAAAGCAGAATGCAACAAAGCTTTTTGTTTGGCTCCACTCGCTGTAATGGCATGAAGACCAGCTCATCACAGTTGTCTGTAGTAAGAGACCATTTGTTACTAGTTAAAATCCTAATTCACTTAGTTGTGTTGGCTCTGTTTTAATGTCAGTGCACTCATCTCTGTGGAAGGAAGCATGATCTCTTACCCTACCCTGTTAGACGACTGCATGTGTTGGCAGCAGCATGAGCGTGTATGATGGGCGCGTTGCATGTGCCTGCATGGACACAGTAAGCCTAAATTAATCTAACTAAATGGACATTTTAGCCATCCTCGAGCCTTTGTGGTTGCTCCAAGCAGGGCACGTCAATTTTTCTCCAACTTCATGGTGTGATGAGGCAGAGATTTGGTACTGTCCGTGGCGCAGAGGTTGCCATCCCAGAACAAAGCCAAGCGAGATGGGTAGCAGGGTGGGAGGGAAGTAGCGGTGGGTCCGCAGTGTCAGACAAAACCTGCCTTGACCAATGAACTGGTGTTTAAGTGTTTAGATTTACACTCGGGTCCAACACAGTACTCGTAGATAGGAAAATTTTGAAACCAGAATATGTGCTACTCTAAACCTTCGTGCAAAGTAGCGTTTATTTGATGGTGCCACCTAGAAGCCCTGCTCACTTTCAGGGCCCTGTGCGTTACTAGGGAAGTTACAGGCATAGGAATAGACGTGAGCTGTGCCCTGAAGAGCTTACAAGGGATGCTTTACAAACAGCCCTTCCTCTCAGCAGTTTCCTAAGGTAGGTAATTATTATTGTCTCCATTTTACAGGTGGGAAAAGCAAGGTTCAGTGTTTGATTTGCCAAAAGCTGCGCAGAATTCCCGGTGCCAGGCGTGAACTCAGATCGCTGCTCGCTCTCGTAGCAGTTTCTCAAGAGAACGAAGTGCTGCTCAGTGTCGATGTCCCGTACTGTGTCTGGGGCGGGCGGGGGTCCTGCAAAGCATGCGTGTTCCTTAGCAGAGGGGAGAGAAGCCCCGCTTGGGCTTGACCATTCTGCCTGTGTCGGAGCAGGGTTTAATGTTTTTAAGCAAACAAACAAAACAAAAAATTGTCTCGAGTAACTTTGTACTTCTTTTTTGGTCTGGCCTCAATTGCTTTTATGTTTTCTTTTTTTTTAATTACTCTTATTATTCTTATTATGATTACAGTTCCTTTTATTTTATCGATTTTAATTTCTTTCATTTATGAAACATGCATGAACCAACAATGTGACTCTAGGAGGTTATTGCTGAGTTGTGCTGATGTCGATTTCATACTGTGATATTTTTTCTCTATTTACCTAGAGATCAGTATTTCAATATATAACGATGTGCATGTTTTCCCCCCTTCTCCCGCTGCATGCAGGGATTCGGGTTCGTAACTTTCGAGAATAGTGCTGATGCAGACAGGGCCAGGGAGAAATTACACGGCACCGTGGTAGAGGGCCGTAAAATCGAGGTGCATGTCTTCAGTAATTCAATTTCTTCTTTATATTTATTCTTTTGATTTCTTTTTGTGTCTTGCCTCACTTATTTCACATTTGGATCCCAGTCTCGTGTGTGCGTGTGTGTTTGTGTCTGTGTCCTTCACCTCCCTGCACTGAAATGTATAAAAGTTTACACCCCTTATGGAATATTTTTATTGTTGTTTTGGGTATGTTTTTCTTTTCTTTTCTTCTTTTATTAAGTTTTTTTCCTACCCACTCCAAATTTTTGCCCTTCTGCTGTCTTGATTTTTCCTTTGCTTCAGTTTGCGAGGCTCCGATTTCCTGTTACCAGGCCTGAACAAAACTAACTGAAAGAGTACTGTCCGACTTCTAACTCTGTGTCCAAAAAAGAAAGCAGGGGGCCAGCCAGTATCCTCTCTTTCCTCTGAGGCCAGTTCTCCTCCACACAAGTGTGAGTGGTGGGAGGGGAGGGGAAACTCGGGGCAGAAGCCCCGAGTGGGGTTGGTTTCTTGACCTACCCGTGGTCAAGAATTGGCTTGGTGAAAGCTAATCCTAAAAGTTGTTAGCTCTCACCGCAGGGGAGTGAAGGGTTAATTGTTGGCTGGCCAGTGTGGCCATGTATTGGGCATGCCTGGTGTTGACCAGTTTGGTGTTCCACTGTGTTGAAGGCTAACTGGCGTCTTCCCTCTCTCCCTCTTTCTTTAAAAAGAAAAAAAAAAAAAAAAAAAACAAACAATTAAAACAAAAAACCCCCCGTTT